GCAGGAAGTAATTTTGAAAATACTATGCCCCCTTTCCCGACTTTTGATATTGCAGGATAGTTTATACCTGTTAGTGTTAGTTTTCAATTATCCTAGGGTTGGGATTGAAAGGAACTTAGGTTTAGATGGGATAGGTATGCTTAGAATAAGATATGGGTAGACTATAATTTGTTTATCATCTTCTATGTATATATGCTTTATATATATATTTGAAACATTTTGCTTATTGACACAATTTAGTTTTGTTTTAAGTCTAAATCTTTTCTTTAGACTCAAAGGGGAATTGCAGGGAGTGATTTTACTTATTCATAAGTGCTGCCCACTTCCTTATGGATGTGTTCATGGGTATGTAGAAGGTACGTGAATAAATAGAGCTAGGGGGAAGAGACTCTCTCTTTGGGTTTCGGTTTTGACCAGGAGAGCAGCATGCAGACCTTTGGTTCTCAGCTTTCTTGGCTTTTTGCATAAATGATTTATCTTTCAATAAATATCAGGAAATCGCTAAACTTGTGGAGCTTAATATTTCTGCTTCAGTTCATGGCTATATAGTCCAGCTGCCCAATGAACTTCAGGCCCTTTAAGTGGATCAGAGGAGTTGTAAGATGAGACACAAGAGACATTGAGTATATTTGGGTGGGTTTTGGAGTTTTGAATTCCTTGCAGTTGTGTGGCAAGCACTTTACCAACTGAGCTATCTTTACCACCTAAGTATTCTTTTCAATCCTCAACCACATAATTTATAGATATATTTGCTTAGCTAGAAAAAACAAAGCAAATAAACACTGAGGAAAAATATTTAAAAAATTGAAATGCACTAGAATAGCACACATGAATTAACAGAAGCAACTTACAGTGAATATAGAGTTACCATATTTGCTCAAACAGTGCTATAACACATAAAATAAAATCTTGGCATTTGTATTAGGTACACTGTAGACTAGTGCTAAGAAATGAAAGCTAAGCATAGGAGCACACACCTATAATCGTACTACTACAGAGACAGAGGTGGGAGGACTTCAAATTCAAGGTCAGCTTGAGCCACACAGTGAGTTCAAAGCTAAACTGGGCTACATTAACACTAAAAATAACTGGGGGCTTTGAACACAAGGCATGTCACTTTGGTATACAAACAACCTCAAAGGAAGGTGGAAGGACCAGGAAGCATGTTCAAGTAAGTCTTTGGCTTCTGACTCAACTGTCCTCCAGATGTGCCATTAAAATTGGAATTCATCTTTTTTCTTCAAAGTGGTTGATAAAACTGGAAGTTTTCTCAGAAGCAAGACAGGAAGCACAATCTCTGCTTTCTCCTTGGAGAGGGGCACTGGCTTACACAGAGAGAGCCACCTGAACTCTTAGGTCTTCATGAGGGGACACTGGCTTACACAGGGGGAACCTCCTGAACCCCTAGGGTGTTGGGGAATATTATTTTGAGGTGTGTGACTTTTGTTTATGCTATATTTGTTTAACTCTGTGAAGTTGTGATTCTTTGCCTGTCTAAACACCTGGTGGTCTAATAAAGCACTGAATGGTCAAAATTGAGGCAGGAGCAAGGATAGGTGGGGCTGGCAGACAGAGAGGATAAATAGGAGAAACGAGGAAGAGCTCAAGGACAGGAAGATATGAGGGGCCAGCCATCCAGTCCTGGAGTAAGAGTGAAAGTAAAATTTATAGAAGAGAAAGATAAAAGCCCAAATGAAAAGGTAGATGGACTGAACTAAACTCCTGGGATCCAGTGACAGAAAGGGAGGACTGATGAGCAAAACTGGGCTGGTTCAACTCACAGAAACAGCTGACCTGAACAAGGGGAGCTCTTAGACCCCAGACCCTAAACTGATGGCTATGTGAACAACATGGGACTGATCCAGACCCCCTGAATATAGGTGTCAATGAGGAGGCCTTGGCAATCCATGGGGCCTTGGGTAGTATTTCTCCCTGGCACACAAATGGACTTTGGGTGACCATCTCACAATGAGGGATGCTCTGTCAGCCTGGACTCTTGGGGGAGGACATAGGCTGCCATGGATGAAATGACAGAAATTGGAGGTCCTCCATGGAGGGCCTCACCCTCCTAGGGGAACAGAGTGGGGATTGGGTCGGGGGCTAGGGGCCCTGGTGGGGGGGCAGGCTAGGAGGGGAGCTGGGATTGACATGTGAAGCTTGTTTCTAATTTAAATATAAAGGGGGGGGGGTAGATGGGTTAACTTAAGAAAAGCTGGAAAGAAACAAGCCAAGCTAAGGTCAGACATTCATAACTAAGAATAAGCCTCTGTGTGTTTTTGGAAGCTGGATGGTGGGCCCTTCAAAAAGCCTAAAAGAATAACAAACATCACAATCCTCAGGCCTTGCTGAGGGGCACTGGCTTCCACAGGGAGAGTCTCCTGAACCCACAGGCCTTGCTGAACTTCCTGCTTCTGCTATGACCACCTGTCCAGTCCGGTTACCACAGTTGTCCATTCCTTCTTGAACCTAAGCATAGAGCTTTCTGTGGGAGGTTGAGTCTTTGTATTTACAAGTTCCTGTTATATAAAACCTCTAGGAAGCATGGTCAGTCTTTTGCTTTAGGAGTCAGCTGTGAGCCTTGTGTTGGGGATATCTTATCTTTCCACCTCCAATTACCCCAAAATGTAGAACAATGTAAGACAAACCACACCCAGAATGGGGCAATTGCTGACATCCCATTTAATCTGAAAGTCATTTAGCTTTTCTCCAGGGAAATGTTAAGGATATTTATTCCTCTTACTTTTCCAGGTTCTCAGAAAGGCTATATGAAAATAATGTATGGAGAAAGGATTTGAAGTTACTATTATTTGAAGGTACATCTCCATTTAAAAAATTAGATACCCTTTGTGCTTTTAGCATAAACTGATTTGCATAATTGAGCCACACAGAATATGCTTAATCTGTAGAGATTCATCAGGTAAACACACATTTGTCAGTTGGACTGGCTCTGATGCCAGTCTAATTTTATATGTAAAACTGTTCTTGACAGACAGCATGTCTGTCACACAGCTTTATAACCCTCAGTGAGTGGCTTATCAGCCAGCTCTGCCCTGCCTCGTCCCTGTCGTTGGCAGCCCACAGCTGGCTCCTCTTTACACATTTCAGGATGGAACTTATTGTTCCAAGAGATTTCCAGGAATCTAAAAGCTTAGGGAAGCATATTTAGAAGTATCAAAAGGGTTTGTAATACAGCTTGATGACAGCACATGCCCAGGATGCACCAGGTTAGGGTATAATTCCCAGTTCTAAAAACAAAGCATAGGACACACAAAGATGCTTTAAACAGGCAGAAGAAAGAATGAGTGGAAATGAAAGTTTCTAAGCTGGAGAGTTATACAATCAAAACAAAACAGTCAGTTCCCCATCAATGGGGACTGGGAGTTTAGGCATGTACAGAGTAAATGCAGGCATCTAATATTATTTGCGGTATAAAGAATGAACAAATATACTTCTCCATATATTTAAAAGTCACTAAGTAAAATTTAGCTTTGAAGAGTCATTCATAAACGTAAAATTGAAACAGATTTGCACATATGAAATAAAAATGCATAAACTGTACTTCTCAAAATAATTCCAAGAACCCCGAAATGCATGTATGTTTGTAGATGTCATTATCTGGTTGCTTGGAAACCAGTTAACTCCAGGTCATTTCTGCTGCCTCTGCTTGTGTGGGAGATTGCACAATGGAGTGAATTCAAAGAATAAAAACAATACACAATGAAAGTAAGAAGTCTCTTCACAAGTGCAGCCAATTAAGAGTGGATCCAAAGTTAACAGCTGCTCGAGCTGGATTACATCAGAGATCTGGGTGCCAAATGTAAGTCTCCACTATCATCTCATGTTTCAGGGAAATCAATAGTTATGTGAAATCAGTAAAGTGAATAGGTATTGCCATAGCTTTGAGGTCTATATAAAGATATAAACTTAAAAGTATCAGACTACATGATGGTGACTAGCACCCCTTTGGTGGCTTTTAAGTAAACAAATACAAGTGTTTCAACAGGTTGAGGACTTTGCATTAGATCTAGCTACAGAGGTCAGAGCTCAGTCTGTGAACAGAAAGTTTTAATGAACAGATCACCAGGGAGAACAAAGACAAGGAAGTACAGATAGAAAAAAAATTCCATGGGACCAGCAGCACATGCCTATAGCCACCGACTGGGACTCAGAAATGTCTAGGCATTTCATGCTGTTAGCTGCCCAGGAAGGCATTGGCTGGGTGTTTCTACCCATTACCATGGAGGAATGGTTCAGTACTGTTGTGGTTTGAAAGAAATTGACCCCCAAAGGGAATAGCACTATTATGGCCTTGTTGAAGGAAGTATATCATTGTAAGGGCAGGCTTTGAGGTTTTTTCCTAACGTTTCACTCAACGTGACAGTCGACTTCCTGTTGCCTGCAAAATATAGCATCTCAGCTCTAAGACCATGTCTGCCTGCACAGTCATGCTCCCTTCATGAAAATAATGGACTGAACCTCTGAAACTGTAAGCAAGCCACCCTCACTCAATTAAATGTTTTCCTTATAAGAGTTGCTGTGGTCCTGGTGTTTCTTCTCAGCAATAAAAACCCAAACTAAGACAGGTACTTTACTTAAACTATGCTACATGTGCAGCTAGTCCTGGAAATGAACCAAGATGGCACTTCTAGAATTTATTCCCCTTTCAAAACCTAATAAAACTACAAACATTTGCTATCACTGGTATCTGTTCTTGGTAGATTCTCAATCTGTTTAGAAACATAAATGTATACATTATCCCAGTGTCCAGAGAGTCACTAACTTACTATTGAGCCATTCCCAGCCACTCTTATGTATGGTACTGCCACAGGATCTAGGGATCTCGTGAATCAAAGTCCTGCACTGTCTCTAAAGCCATGCAATGACAGCAGTGTTAGGAGACACGAACAGAGGTCAAGTTACTAAGACATCAAGGACAGCTCTCAGGATAAGGGGGCTATGGAGACAGGGGTATCAGGCTGAGGCACAAAAGGAGGCTTCTCTGAGGAAACTGTATTTATTAAGGAAGCTGAGGCCAGGACAAGCCATACAATACAATGACATTAACATTCCTGCAGAGAACCTTGATCTCAGTAAGCCCTCATAAGTGATAACCCACACACCTCTAAGATACATACTCCTCACTGAAAATGAATGCATACATGCTTAATACTAAAGGATATAAGACCAGATTAGTTTGAGTAGCTCTAAAGTATCTATGTAGCTATGTGTACAATATTTCAAATACTACCATCTAATTATAATATGTCTTGAAAGGGCATTCCTAGACTCAGTATTATGCATTATTATAAAAACATAAAAACACTGTATTTGCACACATCTTTATTATATGAATAAAAATAAATACCTCATGCCATGGAATGTTGAACTTAACATTAATCTATAGAATCTATATAAAACATGAACATTTGTTTAAGAACTACTTCTCTTACAGCTTTCAACTTGAGTAGAAATTCAAGGCTACTGAAACCAGGTCATCCACCTGCTCTCAACTATGCTCACACTATGACGTGCAAGCCCATCACTTCCTGAAAACCTGTACTGTTGGCTAAAAATGAGTTATTCTTGAGATGACTAAAAGTGAGCTATTCTTGACCCTAAAATAAAAGTGGCAAGGTTAGCAAGGACATAAGACTTTGTCAAAGAGGTAAACATCAAAAATAAAATGAGGAAGATATTACATATGAAAACAACACCAAAGAACCTTCTGTAATAAGTATCTGAAAGATACATCTAAATGTACATTATGTGGAGAATGAAAGTACAAACCAAAGTCAGAGGCATAAAAACGGCATTAGCAGTCTTTTTTAATGCTCCAGTATTCAGATACACTGCTACCAAGCCAATGCCAACTCCAGGGGAAAGAGGAAGGATAGCAAAGATTGTTTAGAAAAAAGGCAGTTGCCACCCACCTTTAATCTCTTGGCCCTTTTCGTGGTGCTAATTAGCACACAATAATACCTTAACTTGCCAACAGAGAAAGGATTGTGCTACTAATTCTGTGCAAGGTCTTTAAGTCCAGCCTACTGAATTACTAGTCATTTCTTTGTCTTGCAATAAAAGGGAGCGTGTTGATACAATCAATCAGTGGTGACTCACTAGCTTGCCTTCTTGATGCCTGTCATTTCAGGAGCTCCCTCTGCAATCAACAGCAGCATTAGAGGGAATTCTTAGGATAGCTGCGGAGGAGTAAAGTGATTGAGTTTCTTCCCTTCCTATGTAAACATTTATCTGAAGGAAAAGAGGTCATCACGTCCAAACTGTCTAAGGAGCACGCTCCCCATGGCCCCCAGCATGGCTCTGCATTCTTTAAGAGGGGAAACTCCGAAGCTTCATGCTATCCTCTGTAAGTCACATAGGCCATTGTTTCAGGCTATGTGAACACAGAGGCACACACACACACACATTCACATATGCATTGGGGCTTTATAAACTCTTTAATTGAAATTAGACGACACTAAATATCTTACAGATTATAAAAATTTCTTCAGCTTTTGGCACTATTAACCAAATATGTATGTATTAACATGGATACAAACTCTTAAGGGGAAAACTGAATGCACCTTATTATAATATACTTCATGACAATGTTTTCAGCAATGCATAGGGGCAAACAGTCAGGAGGCATCTGAATCTGTTTGTGTGCTAGAATAAAATCAGAAAAACTCACAGGAAACTCAGGCAACACTGCCTTAGCTAAGGCCCTCTCTACCCCCAAACGAGGGGCAATTAAGCACATTAAAGGCTCAAGTTCAAAGCAACTCAGTCACCCAGTGAAATCATACTGCACATCAAGGATAATCTAAAAAACATATTTAACAAGTTTCAATGAAAACATTATTTGTAGGCAGATACTGCAAACTTTTTTTCTACATAATCATTTAAAACTACTGTTCTTGGACACTGATCTGACTACTCATTGTGCCTCCTTGCTGTGTGATGATGATACATTTAAAAGGTTACAGTAGAAATGAATTCTCGATAAAGCCTGTACTATCTGTGAAAGTACTTGTCATCATGGGGGCATTCAATTGTCCTAATATACACTTCGGTCTTTTGGAAGACTATTATACACAGAAATGGCAGTCTTTTTTTTTTTTTTTTTTTTTAGCATTTGCAGGTACTTAATACAACTGATAAGAAAGATGCAAGAAAAAGTCAACTTATTTTTCAAGGCTTGGATATTTTTTTCTGTTTTAAAAACAGGTAATGCCCTTTTATTTACAATGATTAAGGTATTATTAATCCTTTTCTTGTATGTGTTGGGGACACACACACACACACACACACACACACACACACACACACACACACACACGAGCATGGAAGCTCATGAGTGTGCCTAGAGGCCTGAAGTTGACACCACACGCACCACGTTTTCTTGCTGTACTTTATTGAACCAAGGGTGGGTGAGGTGGGTGGGGTGGGGGTATGGGTGGTGGTGTGGTGTGCTGGTATCTTGTTGAATCTGAAGCTACCCCATTTAGTGTAGTAAGCACTGGGTTGCAGAGATCACCTTTGCCTGCCACATGCTGAGACTGAAAGAGGCCATGGGGCCTGCTAGGCTTTCCGTGGGTCTGGGTGAGTGGTCTCCTCACCTCTGCTCTGGGATTCCTGGCAGGTGTTCTCACCTCTGCTCCATCTGCTGATTCCATCCTTCCAGCCCTTACTTTTCTGCACCATCTTGAATGGCAGTTTACCTGTTTTTTTTGTTTTTGTTTTTAAGGCAGTCTCACACTGTGTAGCCAAGGCTGGCCCCTAGGTCACAGTGATCTTTCCTTAGGTCTGACGTGGTGATATCAGGCATGTATGTCCACAGCTGGCATTGGTAATCCTTTTAAACTTCAGCTGTTATCCTAATTGTGTTTAACAAAGGAGAAAGGAGCAGGGTTGGTTCTATATTGTGAAGGAAAAGATTTTGAAGTCTTTTTTTTTCCTATATGATAGAGAAAATTCTCCATAGAGATCTTGTAGTAACACTAGCAGTATTTAAATCTTAGCTCACAGGTAACTATAGTCTTTAGTCTTAGTGCTTAGGAGGCACAGGCAGGCAGATCTCTGTGAGTTTAAGGTCAGCATGGTCTACATAGTGAATGCCTGACCAGCCAGTAATATATAGTGAGACCCTATCTCAAGAAAACAAAACAAAACATAAATTCCAGTTCACTTCCTTGCAATAACCAGAGATCTCTAGGTGTCCTACAGCACATCTTAGCCAACCAGGAGGGAGTAGGGTCGGCTGCTGGGACAATTCCAGTTTTGGATTACATGTGGCCTCAGTGTGGAGGCCAAGGCAGTTCTGAGGACAATGACAGACGAGTCAAGACTGCCTTATTCAGAGTGTTAGAAGAACAGGATACAGCTGGAGAGGGTCAGAAGGGAGTTAATACTTGATAGAGAAAACCTAAAACACCAAAGAGTATCTAAGTGGTCATGAACAGTCTTTAGAAAGCGATGACATTAAAAGTCCTACTACTGAGGGCTCAGAGAATGAATGACGAAGCCATTGATGGAAAACTGAAGCTTGGCTTAGTTGCACAGTTATGTGCAAAGCAGAATTTGTACATGATAACCTTAAGACTAAGCCGGAATTTTCAGGTAAGCTTTAACCTGTTTTATTCTTCCTAGTTGTAGTATAAAGTTTCATAGTAAATAGAAACACCATGTGAAAAGGTGATACATATATATAAAAAGAAGCTAGGGCTTAGTGGAATTCTCAGTTTGCCAATCAACAAGCACTTAAGAAAGGTGTTTTAAAAATGGCAATACTGTCAGGAAAGCCCGATGTATAGAAATGAGGTTGCGGCTGTACATCCCTTATATAACACAAAGGGCTGGGAATGGCTCAGTAGCTAGTGCTGGCCAAACTGACTGGGTAGGACAGCTGCTCACAATTCCAGCACTCAGGAGGTAGAGACAGGGAATCCCTGGAGCATGCTAGCCAGACTAGCTGTACCAGTGAGTCCCTGCCTGAATGGATAAGGTGAAAAGAGATGAAGGGAGGATCCCAACATCAACTTCAGGCTTCTCCCAAACACACATCTAAACAGGCACACAAACATGCACACCACGCATGTAACAAAATGGTTTGCATGTTCAGTCACGCAAAAGGCTCTCAAAGAGATCATGAGTGTGACACAGCTGTACTTTCTCGGAGAAACTAAAAATAAGAGATGGGATGATTTCTGTTAGTAGAACGACGTTTGGGAGAGCTCCCTGTTCAATGGAGCTAACCTCTATGGCACACAGATCATTGAGTTTCTTGACAGTGCTGCTATTGTAAAATGAAAGACACAACACAGGATGAGAAGAAAGCTGCGTGGCTTCTGTAAAAGGAAGATGATGCAGACACTCAAAACTCAAAGGACTAAGTTACGAGAGCTACACATTAATGTTGGGCCGTAAACATTGATGGGATGTCTGGCTGGATTTGCAAGCTCCTCGGTAACAGTGGCTCCACTTTTGACTGTTTCCTGCCTTTTACACATCAATGTTTATAGCTTAGTTTATCGCTGTCCTGACATTTACCTGTGAGCAGATAATTCATTTTTAGTGTCACAGGCAGAGAGGAAATTTCCACTTAATTTAGATCATCTTAATGAGAGTTGGGATTTCTGAACCAATGAAATGCAGATAAGGTTTTGGACTGAGTCCATGTGATATGCTGAGATTTCTGAGCACCTCTGAAGAGATGGGGTGAGTTTATTTGGGTAAATCAGAGATAGTGTGGGCTGTGGTCAGCAACCATATTAATCCCCTCAATCTCATGAAGGTGTAACTGAAATGGGAAAGAGCAACTCTGAAGGATGATTAAGGTGACTATCAAGTTAACATTCGGAGATGATCATGTGCATCCTCTCTCATCTTATAGTCCTCGAACTGAGAACACTGTAATTACCAAAGGCTCAGAGGGATGCAAGTGCTGGCTGTTAGATGAGGGAGGGATAGCACCATGGGTAAGGAACACAGGTGGCCTCTGGAGGCTCAGCAGCTAGGGAATGAGTCTCTAGAGCCTGCATGCAGTCTTACCAACACCTCGATTCTAGCACACAGAATCTTGTTTTCAATTTTATCCTACACAATTTTAAGATAATAAACCTGTGCATATCAGTCACAAATTCTGTATTTTCTTATGTCAATAACAGAAAATCACACGGAAATGGTGACTAACAATAGAATGATGTCTAAGGGGGAAACATACTTTTCTGTTGTTCCGGATAACAGCCCGCATCATTCAAGACATGCCTGGATAAGGGAAACACAAACACCTTGCTGGTAATTTTTGCTCCAGTCTCTCAGACTGAGTTCATACACTGAAGAATACATTGGTTTGCACATCTACAACAGTGTTTCTATGTATGTGTCCCCTCTTCTGTGTTCACTATTAAAATGTTAATGAACCAAAACCAATGAAAGTGCTCAAGGCAGGTTCTGCAAGGACAATACTTTCTTGATTTTAAAGTGCAATTTTCATGAATTCTCAAGAGCTGATGACTTTTACATCTATTAAAATTCAGTTTATGAGCTGTGATTTTATAAAATACAAGGCCAAAATATATTCTGTGATACTAATATAGTTCAAACAATATGTGAAAAGAATACACAAAAATCTTAATTATTGTATGATCAAACAATTTCAAGATCAGAGCAGACACTCTGGTATATATTACAGAAAAGGGATCCAAACTGGCTACTGGTCATCACTGCATTAAAAAACTTGAGTACATATTTTACCAAATGCATTTATCAAAAGGGGTTCTATTCATTTAATCTGAAAATGGTATTACACTGACACTGAGCATATAGTAAGTTAGTTGACCTAGATGTTTACAGCTATCAATATAAGCCAGCTCTGCAACTAAAAATTCAAACATCCATAGTCTAAATTTATCTAGACACAACACTGGAAGACAGAGCAACAACAAAAACAGATTTATCTGAATAATAAAATAAATTGGTAGTTTTTATCCTAGAAGTATATTTTTACTAATATGTACAACATTACTTATTTCTACATGGGTTGGAGCAATACTATTTTAGCTGTTGGAGTATCACGGTATTAAGAATATCTGCTTCTTGTAAGGTCAGACTTTCATCTGTTAGCTCTTTACTTGGAAACGAAGTCACAAGAATAAAGTCTGTTGTTGCAAATTCAGGACGTGACTGTATTATAAAGTCTCGGACATCCAAAACCCTGAAGGAATAAGTAAAAATAGTTTATTGTAACAAGGGCACATTTGCATGCAAACTTTTAGTGAAAATCTTCACAATAAAAATTATATAATTCCAACTTTTGCTTAAAGGTACTATAACTTTCTTTAATTTACATTATTTCGATGGGAAAATTCATCACATTTTGAAAGAAAAAAATAATTCTGGAGTATACATTTGTAGTAAAACAAAAACAATCTTTAAGTGAATTATGTATAAAATAAGAATGAACAATATTGCTATATTAAAAGTATGTCTCTGGGCTGGAGAGATGGATCAGTGAGTTCAATTCCTAGCAACCACATGGTGACTCACAACTATTTGTAATGAAATCTGGCACCTCCTTCTGGCCTGCAGATATACATGCAGGCAGAACACTGTGTACAAAATCAATCAATCAATCAATCAATCAATGGATAAATCAATAAATCAAAAAAAAGTATGTCTCATTGTTTTTAAAGTAAAAACTGTTGGCAGCCTAGGCCTCTAAGCCATTTGTGTGGACACTGGACACGATGTACCTAACACTGAATCGTACACGTGTGCGTGGGCACCCATATGTATAAAAGCTAAGTGTGGCAGTACAAGCCTGTAATTCTACCTGTTTAAAGGCTAAGGTAAAGATCACTGACTTTAAGGCTAGCCTAGACTACACAGTCACACAGCAAAATCCTATCATTAAAAATAGTAACAAAAAAAGAATTAAAAAATTATTCTCACATATACCTAGTAACTTAACTAAAACCAAAAATGCACAAAGAGTCTTATAAACAGTGAAAAATAAGAGCACTACTATATGCAGGAAAAACATTTATATTCAAATGAGTATTAAAGAGAATGAAGCAGCCTATTAAAGATACTGCACCAACAATACAAACTACTTACACCATTTATTTACAGTATGAAGTTGCTAAACAGAAAGTTCTGATTAGAACTTCATAAACTTTGTTTGAGATAATGTCTTATTATGTAGTTCAGACTTACTTCAAACTTGTACTTGGTTTGAGCTTCCAAATGATGGGATTAGAGGCGTATACCACCATCCTAGTTTAAAGTTTATATTTTAACTGAGGAAGTCCCAATAGGATCACACTATCTTGAATCTGAATCCACTTGATACATGATACAGTTTTAGTTACAATGCATGCAAAACTACAGCTCATATCTTTGAGTTGTCTAAACTTGGACTAATGGGATAATTTTCAATGATTATTAGTAGCTATTTGATTTATTGTAGGTAGTTCCCATCCAAATATTCTCTGTCAAAAGCTTTCTTCGCAAATGTAAAGAACTTCATCTATTCCTTATGCTTTGTGCAGTTTTCTGTGGGTGAGCAGCAGTACATGCACACAGAGAGCCCTGGCTGCTGGAGCAGCTTACCGGTGTGTGCTGTTGAATCGTTGTATCAGGCGACTGCCATCTGCCAACCTGATCTGAACTTTCGTGGTGGGCACTGAATCATCAATAAGAACAGTCGCATTAAGTATTGATTTATCTTCTTCTTCTGGGGAGGAAGGAGTACTGATGATTTCAGGTGTAAGGCTAAGAAAGAAGAATTTCAGAATCAGAGCACAGACTGAGTACGTAGTACACAGGACACAAGGAAGGCGGTCAAGACTCTGCTCTTGAGTCAGTTGTGTCGTCATCCCTCGCAGGACTTCCCTAGCAAGACCATGCTTCCTTCCAGTGTTCTCTACTGCTTTGGCCTCTTTAATTATATTAAAAGTAGTGTGTGCCTACGTTTCCTACTTATTAATCCCAGACCTCTCAGAAGCGTAGCTGCATTTTCTCCAAATTCATCTCTAAACTTTCCTTACCCTGTTTACCACACAGTTCAGGAAGAAATGAGAAACCAGAGACTTACTGTCAGCATGCCAAGAGTATAAAGAAAATATATTCCAAATCCCAACTATGTTCTAACTGGATGCACTTGAGAAACAACACCCACCTTGTCTAATTCAGTAAGACTGTATTCTGTAATGCATTTATTATCCCATGATGTCCCTCAGGATAATGCTGAGAACTAAGAACTCAAGAGCTACTTTTGCTTATAGAATCAGAACTGAACTGTTACTTTAAAACATTGTCAATACTATTTAAAAACCATATGACTTAAGTAGATACTGCTTTGCAAGAGAAATAGCTCCAAGCTGTTAGTGAGAAATGAAATTTTACTCATTTCTCACATTTATTCATTTTTCACATAAATTCTCATTGAAGCTTACTAGACAAAGCACCTTACCATTTGATCTTGATTATCAGTGATTTGATTGGTTTAATAGCTTCTAATATCATCAGGATGATCAGATACAAACTAAAAATTATGGTGAAAAGAGCTCTTTCAAGAGTAAAACAAATTTAACCAAATTTCTTTAGTATCTTAAGGGAGTTTCCCCCATGTATTACTTTATAAAGTGCCTGCTATGAGCATAAGGGAATGACTCTTCCTTCTATCCAAACTTTCTCCCAAACTGTCATATGGCAAGATAGTAAAGTTAACCAACCTATCTTTACTGAAAACACTTGCCTGCCTCTTCCTCACCTCCAGATTTAGAACCAATCTGAGAAAATGTATGGTAAAAATACACAAGAGGAAAAAACATATAAATTACTATATAAAGCCTTACACAGTTGTATTGTCAAACTTAGCACACAGGGGAGAGAGATGAAAACCAGATAGGAGGTGCAAGAAGACCCAGGATGTTCTTCCCATCAGTAACCATGCACATATGTGACCAACAGTGACTTCGAGTTAGCTATCCCTGAGCTATTGCCTGAGTCCTTGTCTGGTGGAAGAGAACCGCTCTATTGTACAGATTAACCGCAAGGCACAAGGGCATTTCAAGTTAGGTTTCCACACCACCTAAAGGAGGCTACCGAGAAATGAGAAAGCTGACTTGGCTCTATCCTATGACATTAACTGCATAATGGTGTTTCCATCATCTAATACCTTCTAGGAAAAATTCTTATCAGGCAGGCAGGCGTCTTCTGAAACAAGAATGAAGTACAACGAGGAAGGGAACCTCGGTAGAAAGCACCTGATGTATTCCCTTGTGAGAAGCAAGTGTGTAGAAATGAATTATTTACAAACTGGAATGGATGGACTTTCAGAACAGGTGTGGCAGCTGTATCAGTGGAAAAACTCTGACTCAGAGGTGGACTAGAACCCTGCCCCAGGCCAAGCTCAGCACTGGCGAGCAGGCATTGTGTTCTCTCTAAACCCAGTGCTCACTGTCAAAGTCACTTTCATTTGCTGTTTAAGGCTTCCCTGATCTCCCTTCTTTTCTTTTGAGTCAGTGTCTCACTATGTAGCTCAGGTTGTCCTCGAACTGATCCTTCTGCTTCAGCCTCACAAGTGCTGGGACTACAGCAGTGCACAACAAACTCCCCCTAGTCAACTATCACACTGCAGTTCTTAAAAAAAGATTTACTTTTCCGTGCACAAAGTGCTTTGCCTACACTTATATATATGCACTATGAGCATGCCTTGTGCCTGTGGAGGCCAAAGAAGGCACTGCTTCCTTTGAATCTGGAGTTGGACATGGTTGTGCTCTGCACCAAATGGGTGCTGGGAACCAAACCAGGCCCACTGTAAGAGCAGCACATACTTTTAACCACTGGTCCATCTGCAGCCCTCTACAGTGACGTTTTCATATACTGTTTTATTTTAAGGTTAATTAAAACAATTTATTTTTAAAGAGAGAAATTAAGAGATTCAAAGACTTTTAAGAAAGCAGGAAGAAAGGATGTGAGCTGAGATTCCCTCAGACAGCTGGAAGCTTATAGGACGATGAATCAGGAATCTCAAAGTAACATGGAAACCATCATCATCAGCCAGAGAATGTCTCCGAAACTAAAAAAAAAATGTGCCTAAGCATGTGATGCAGGAGGAGGGCTGAGGGGAAAAGCAGGGAGCATTTGGGGCCAGGACTGTGGGAATTAGGGGACCCAGCCCTGCCTGCTCTGCCGGACTGACACTGTCTGCAGTCCCAGCTGCACGAGACAGAAGATCCAGCGGGTGTAGCAAGGTGAGGACTGAACGAGCAGCAGAGCTAGCAGGAAACAGAAGGCAGGCCAGAGGGGCTATTTGGCATTAGACAAGAGCATTCCTGAGACTAGGGACCAACTCGAAACCGACCTCAGATTCAGTGCCAGATGACCGAGTGGCAAGCAGAATCTCATCACCTAAATAGGACGCAGACACAAAGAATTATCTATTCAAGTTGCACCATTTATCATTATACAGTTCAAAACCCCTGGCAAATGTCACCGCCAGTGCTTCCAGCCAGCAAAAGACTGACATTGCCTAGGGTTTTTTTTTCGCTGGGCTCAACTCCAGCTCAACTCAGGCTATCCTACCATTTGCAAATGTGCATCTGTCACCCATGACTTCCTTATTTCTACTTAATTGTATATCACAGGAATACTTGGCTAACTTCTACCTGTAAGGTCTTTGTAATTAGACTACTGCCTATGGAGAGAAACAGAATCTTTTTGTATTTGTTCTTACATTAAGTAGTTGCCTGGAGTTCTTGGAAAATGAGAACTGTGAAGCTTCTGCCTTAATAGGTTTTAGTTTCTCCTTCCCTCCCTCCCTCCCTTCCAGTTTTGGTACCAGGGATCAAACCTTAATATAGTTAATGTAACTGTCTAGTGTAAAATGTAGCGAGCAGTTCTTTAGAGAATATAATATTCGATTAAATGTGAGTTTATGTGACCGAGTCACCTTACATTAACATGCTAGAGATAATTTTCTGTATATTAAAATTGAACCAATTCCTTTTCCCATTTTGAGGCAAGGTCAAGCTCTCGTAGCCCAGGCCATCAACAGAATGAGTATACAGCAGAGACGGGCTGCAGACTGGGTAGAAGGCTGAGGGAGACCCTGAAAGTCTGCTCTCCCCGCCTCTATCTCCTCAGTGCCAGGAATACAGGTGTGGACCACCAGGCCAGGTATGTAGTGCTGGAGACTGAACCTAAGCACTGCTTAGCACACCACAGAAAATCACCAAGAGAAGCACACTGTCCCTTCCTGCTGCAGCGCCTCAGTGTTTACACATAATAGACACACCCAGTAAATGTGTGAGGTACTATATCCAGTGCTCTCTGCAATCAGCAACACTTTACAGTTTCTCTTTTGAAGCTGTGTGATTGGAAGCAGAAATGAAAGAACACACACATAAAGAACAGAAAAATGCATAGAACCAAAACCGGGGGACTAGGGGGGCTGGTGGGAGAGGGGAGGGCACTGTGTAGGGGATATGCTCAAAGTACTATGCATTACACATCTACATGAAAATGGCCAAAACTGAATCAGAGAACACAGCCCAGTAGTGAAAAGCACACACCCCAGAGTGTGTGCTTGGGCTGGAACCTCGTTCTAGTCATTCTCTAGCTCAATCACACCTTGGGCAAATTATTGTTATTTTTTAAAGATTTATTTTCATTTTTAATTATACGTATGTGTGCCTGTGTGCAGATGCCCATAGATGCCTGGAGCTAGAGTTACAGGTAGTTGAAGCTGCATAGGATGGGTGTGGGGAACCAAACTCGGGTCCTCTGCAAGAGCAATGTGTATTTAAAGAGCTGTTATCAAATGAGCCAATGAGTGTAAGGAGGCTGATTTCTGGGTACTTGCTACCAATATCATTATTGAAGTTGCACACCTAATTCCAGCAGGAAGGTCTTTACAGCTCACATTTCAGTTTTTACTTCACAAGTCATTTTTATTTCTTATTCTCAAAAAAATATCATTTGAGCTTTTCTCTCTAGAGAAATTTTACCTTCCAAGTTTCTGTCCTTCTCCACTAAAAGCTTTGAATCGCAACCTGGGTTTTATGTACTCTTGGTCTTGATGATCCTCCATATCCAGACTCACTTGGCTGCCATGGACCAGTCGCTGAAGCTCCAGGGGAATCTCTCTTAAAAGGAGGGAGAGAAGGTTTTAGTTAAGATTGCTAAAAAGTACACTACTCCACTGTACTAATTAAATCATGAGCTACACGCTAACAAAAACTTCCATGGTGATTTTAGAGACCATGTAGTTCAAGTTACCTCACACTTTTAAAATTTTTATACTTTAAATGTATGAGTGCTTTGTCTATATGTATGTACCATGTGCATGTCTGGTGCCCTTGGAGGACAAAGTCCCTGGGACTGGAGATACAGAGGGTTGTAAAGCTCTATGTGAATGTTGGTCCCCTGGAAAAGCAGCCAGTGCTGAGCCATCTCTTATAGCTGGTCACACTGTTCTTTAGTGACTTTTAACATAGAAATGTTTTGGTTGTCACAATGACCTTCAGGTATATTTAGAAACTCAAATTATAAGACAGCAATTGATACTTGAATTAGCACAAGAAATTTCCTATATGGCTTAAAAGTTAATTCAAATATTTTTGATTGTTTCTTTGAAATAGGATCTCACATTGTGGCTCAGGCTAGGCTTGCATTCGGTATATAGGTCAGGCTAGTTGCAAACTCACAGCAATCCTCCTGTTTTAGAGCCTCAAGTATTGGGAGTCTGCACACATTTACTTCTAATGTCCCTGAGGGAGTTGTATAAACTGATGTGATGTTTCTGAGTGTCAGGTGACTGGTGAACACTGCCACGTTTCAGCATGAGGGACAGGGGCTGTGAGACATGACTATGGCAGAGTCATCTTTTTTCCTTTTTTTTTTAATTAAGAGTTGTTTTAGGTCGCAGAAGAACAGATGAGTGATCTGGCTGCTAGCTGAACTGCCCCACTCCCTGGGTTCTGTTCTCAAAGATCCATCTCACAGCCCATGCCCTCCCAGCTCATCACCGGCCCCACTTCCAGGCCCTGTCCCCAACCCCAGCAAACTTCTGCTGCTCAGACACAGACCACACCAGTCAGAGAACAGAGACCTCCTACTGCAACAAAAGCCCAGTTAGCCACCAGAGACCAGTCCCCAACTTTGACAGAGAGTCTTTACTAGAACAGAGGTCACGCCAGCCACAAGAAATCCAGGTCACAAAGACCAGAAGACCAAAGAGGAAACAGAAGCCAGGGAACAAAATACCCATCCAAACAAGACATACTCAGAAATCAGCACCTAGACATATAATCATCCCAAACCCAGATGCCTAAATGCCAGTGTAGGAACAAAATCAACAACAGCCAGGGCAATATGGTACTAGCATAGCCCAGCTATCCTATGACACCAAGACCTGAATATTCCAACACAGCTGAAAAACAAGAAAATGACTTTAAAAAAGGAAAACTTTATAAAGATGATAGAGATCCTTAAAGAGGAAATGAAAAAAAACTGTTAAAGAAATACAGGGCAAGACAACAACAACAACAACAACAACAACAACAACAACAAAAATCCCTTAAGGAATGCAAAGAAAACCAAGAAAAAAAAACAGATGAAGGAAACTATTCAAGATCTGAAAATTTAAATGAAAGCAATAAAGAAAACACAAACAGAGGGAATTCTGGAAATGGAAAATCTGGGTAGGCAAACAGAAACTAAAGACACAAGCATAACCAACAGTATTCAAGAGATGGAAGAGAGAATCTCCAGTATAGAGAATATGACAGGAGAAATAGATACAACAGTCAAAGAAAATGTTGTATCTAAAAAGCAAACAGTGAACATCCAGGAAATCTGGAATACTATGAAAAGACCAAACCTGAGAAAAATAGGAATAGAAGAAGGAGAAGAATCCAGCTTGAAAACCTAAGAAGATATATTTAACAAAATCACAGAAGAAAATTTTCTTAACCCAAAGGGCATGCTTATAAAAGTACAAGAAGCTTAAAGAACACCAAATAGATTGGACCAGAAAAGAAAGTCCTCCTGCCATATAATAATCAAAGCTCTAAACATACAGAATAAAGAAAGAAGCTGCAAAGGAAAAAGGCTAAGTAACAAAGCAGACTTATCAGACTTATATCTGATTTCTCAGTGGCGATTCTAAAATACAGAAGGGCCTGGAAAGATGTCTTGCAGACTCTAAGGGACCACAGATGCCAGCCCAGACTAATATACCCAGCAAAATTTGCAGTTACCATAGATGAAGAAACCAAGATATTTCATGAAAAAGTCAAATTTAAACATTATCTATCCACAAATCCATCCCACAGAAGGTACTAGAAGGAAAACTCCAACTCAAGTAAGTTAACGATAACCACAAAACACAGGCAATAAATAATCTCACACTAGCAAGACCCCAAAACAGGGAAACACACACACACACACACACACACACACACACACACACACACACACACACACTACTACTACAACCACCACCACCAACAAAATAACAATGGATTCAATTCCCCAATAAAAAATGACACAGGCTGACAGAATGGATATGAAAACAGGATCCATCCTGCTGCTGCATACAAGAAACACACCTCAACATCAAAGATAGACATTACCTCAGAGTAAAAGGTTGGAAAAAGATTTTCCTAGCAAATGGATCAAAGAAGCAAGATGGTGTAGCTATTCTAATATCTAATAAAATAATTTTCAAACCAAGTTTAATCAAAGGAGATAGAAGGTATTTCATACTCATCAAAAGAATAATCCATCAACATGATGCTTCAATTCTTAATATCTAATCCCCAAATGCAAGAGTACTCACATTTGTAAAGGAAACACTGCTAAAACTTAAATCACACATTGAACCTCACACATTAATCATGAAGGACTTCAATGGACAGGACATCCAGGCAGAAACTAAACAAAGAAATAATGGAGCCAACAGACCTTATGACTCAAATGAATCTAACAGATATCTTATGACTCAAATGAATCTAACAGATATCCACAGAACTTTTTATCCAAACACAAGAAAATATACCTTCTACTTAACACCTCACATAACATTCTCCAAAATGACCACATACTTGGTCACAAAGCAAGTCTCAAAAGATGCAAGAAAACTGAATAACCCCTTATATTCTATCAGATCACCAGGGATTGAAGCTGGGTAACAACAACAGAAAGCCTACAAACTCATGGAAATTGAACAACTCCCTACTGAACAACTGTTGTGTCAAGGCAGAATTAAAGAAAGAAATGAAAGACTTCCTAGAATTCAATGAAAATGAATCCAAAACACACCCAAACTCATGGGACACAATGAAAGTGGTGCTAAGAAGAAAGTTCACAGCACTAACTGTCTTCATCAAGAAACTGCAGAGATACACTAGCAACTTAACAGCACACCTGAAAGCTCTAGAACAAAAAGAAGCAGACATGACCAAGAGCAGTAGACTGCATGAAATAACAAAACTCAGGGCTGAAAGCAGTAAAATAGAAACAAAGAGAACAATGCAATGAATCACAAAACGATGAGTTGGCTCTTCGAGAAAATCAGCAAGACAGATAAACCCTTAATTAAAAGACAGAGAATATCCAAACTAACAAAATCAGAAATGAAAAGGGGGACACAACAACAGATACTGAGAAATGCAAAGAATCATTAGGTCATATTTCAAAAACCTAATTTCACAAAATTGGAAGATCTAAAAGAAATGGACAATTATCTCGATAGATACCACTTACCAAAGTTAAATCAAGATCAGATAAACAATTTAAATAGACCTATAGCTGCTAAGGATATAGGAGCAGTCATTAAAGCCTTACAAACAAAAAAGGTCCAGGGCTAAACAATTTTAGCACAGAAGACTACCAGACTTTTAAAGAAGAGCTAATACCAATACTCCTCAAATTATTACACAAAATAGAAACAGAAGGAATTTTGCCAAATTAATTTCATGAGGACACAGTCACCCTCATACCCAAACCACACAAAGATTCAATGAAGACACTTACATACCAATTTTCCTCATGAATATTGATGTAAAAATACTCAATAAAATAAGCATAAACACAACCCAAGAATATATCAAAAAGATCATCCACCATGATCACGTAGGCTTCATCCCAGAGATACTGGGCTGGTTCAAATATGAAAGTCTGTCAATGTAATCTACCATACAGACTGAAATTAAAAAACAAACACATGATTGTCTCACTAGATGCTGAAAAAGCCTTTGACAAAATTCAACACCCTTTCATGATAAAGGTCTTGAAGAGATCAGGGATACAAGGGGCACACTTAAATATTATAAATGCAATCCGATAGCCAACATCAAATTCAACGGAGAGAAACTCAAAGCAATTCCACTAAAATCAAGAATAAGATAAGGTTGTCCACCCTCTCAGTATCTATTCAATATAGTGCTAGAAGTTCTAGCTAGAACAATAAGACAACTAGAGGAGATCAAGTGGATACAAGTTGCAAACAAAGAAGTCAAAGTGTCGCTATTTGCAGATGATAATTCACATAAGTGGCCACAAAAATTCTATCAGGGAACTCCCATAGCTGATAAAACACCTTTAGTGAAGTGGCTGAATTCAATGAATACAAGATTAACTTGAAAAAAAGTCAGCAGCCTTCTATATACAGTCAAATCAGGAAAAACTTTCACAATAGCCAGAAATAATATAGAATATCTTGGGGTAAATCTACCTGTATGACAAAAACTTCAAGTCTTTGACGAAGGAAATTGAAGAAGATATCAGAAGATGGAAAAATCTCCCATGCTCATGGATTGGTAGGATTAACAAAGTAAAAATGGACATCATACCAAAAACAATCCACAGATTCAATGCAATCTCCATAAAAATCCTAATACAATACTTTACAGACTTTGAAAGAACAATACCCAGCTTCATATGGATAAATAAAAAACCCAGGAGAGCTAAAATTATTCTATACAACTAGTGAATTTTTAGAGCAATAGTAATAAAAACAGCATGGCACTGACATAAAAGCAGACATGCTGACCAGTGGAATGGAATTAAAGATCCAGATGGGGATGTCCTTCTGTATGCTGTGAGCATATGTTTCTATTATTGGTTGATGAATAAATGCTGA